TAAATATTTACTTTATACTCTTTTTTTTTATAATCTTTTATAATTGTTAATACAATTTATAAAATTATCATAAATAAAAATAAGAACAAAATGTTAAAAAATATTAAAATTATAACACTTAAAAACATGTAGTATTAAATAAAAACTAACAAATAAATTATGACGCAAATAGTATAATTAATACTCCATCCGTGTCAATACAATAATTTTGTTTATCATTTTTACCGTCCTAAAATAATTGTCTCATTTCTATAAATAATCATGTCACTATAAAATTATCTCTACCTTTTTATTATTATTACACAATTGACACTACTTTTACTCTAATATACTCACAAGGCAAAAAAAATCATTTATCCTTATTTTTTACCGACTATTAATATAATATCAATATTTTTTAAATCATGTGCCCAATACAATAAAACTATACTTTTGGAACGGAGTGAGTATTAAAGTGGGACTCAATTTTAATTTACCAAATTATATTTGAATATTAAAAAAATTAAATTGACATTATTTTTGTATGGCTGGTATTTGATACGACTTTTTAAAAGGTAATAGTTTTTTAATACTAATATTTTAAATAAAAGTAAAATTTCAACCTTGTTGGAGTTTATTCCAAAGTCCAAACAATCAGGCACGGGTGTGTTTGGATAACTGGAGGTCATTATTATTATTATTATTTATTATTATTATATTAGTAACAATTGAAATTTCGAGCAAAATTTACTAAATCAAAATATATTTAAAAAAATATAAATTAACTTAAATACATAACTTATAATACTTCCTCCAAGCAAGAAGTATATATTTATTTTTGATGCAAAGTTTAAGAAATAATAATATTTTAATTATAGTAGGTAGATAAAAGTAGTGTAATGATATTTTTGTCCTTACTTTTTGGTATAAAAGTAATGATGTGATGTAAAATAAGAGTATTTGTGAAAAAAAAGTGAGGTATTTAATGAAATAGTTACTTTGTAATTGGACGTCCCAAAATAGAAATATGTATACTTTGTAGCTGGACGGAGGGAGTATCATACATCGTGGAGATCCATTCAAAATTCCTTTAATTTTTATCTTTCTATTAAAAAAAATAATATTTTTATCTATATTTAAAATTTCACATCTTTTATAATTTATGTTAATTATAAATAAATAAGAATATTTGTTTTGTTTACTTGTATTATAGAAAATTTTATTATCTATAAAATAATATTTATATTGTATATATTTTTTATTAAGATATAATCTTTAAAATATTTTAATACATGTTTTAATTGTTTTAGTTATATATATATTAAATTTATTTTAAAATTATTAATAATATTAATAACATAAAAATTAATATGATAATTTACTATTATTAACTAATTAAGTATTATTATCTTAAATACCATATTCTTAATTAAAAATATACTATCTCCGTCCTAAAACAATAGAGATATTTAGGATGAATACGAGAATTAAGAAATAATAGTATTATATTGATAGTGACTGTAAAAGTGTTTCCAAAAAACTAAAATATCCTTATTTTATGTAATTATTGTAAAAAATAGGGATAATTTTATATAAAAAAAGGGGAGGTAGTTAAAAAAAATAGAAATAAAACTATTGTTTTAGAACTGACAAAAATGACAAAATGAGACTATTATTTTAGAATGGAAGGAGTATATTCAAATATTTATTCAATTTAAGTACCTCCTCCGTCTCATAACAAAATATCAATTTTCTTGTTTAGTAACTATACTATCTACCTAACATTACAAATATCCTTACAACTTACAATATATTACACAAATGTTATTACCTTTATATCACACATACTAATAAGATTATTTTAATTATTTCTATTTTATTCTTGCTATATCTCAATATAATATTAATTATTTTAAAATTATGTGAAAAAATAAATGAATATCTAGTTATGTTATGATACGGAGCAAGTATTTATTATAAGCCCCGAAATATGTCTTTGCCACGTCCAAATCACCTTAAGGAATGCCGCCCATTTGATGCTATTAAAGTTTGGATGCATATTTATTGCTGTGTTATTTTTCTAGCTGCATTTTATTATTATTATTATTATTGGAAATTATAAAATAAATTATTTTTAATTTTTATTATTTTTAAATGTTAAAAAATAATATGTGCTTGTTTGCCAATTACATTTTTATAGACACAATTCCTCGCAGATGTATATTACTGTGAATTTACAAAAAATTATAGTAATAAATATTCAAGAATACTTCATTCGTCGTCCAATTGTGTGTTTATTTAATCGGACACGGGTTTTAAGAAAATTATGTTAGAATAGAAATTTTTACTTTTTTTTTTTTGGTAAAAAAAGTGATATTTTTTTACTAAAAATGGAAACTAGAATAAATTTAGATGACAACAAAAAAAGAAGAGTAAGAATAGATTTGAATGACGGAGGAAGTATTATTTTCTCTATTCCACAAGCCAAGTATATGTATACATTAAAAATTTGTTTGGTTATGATTTGAAATAAAATATTAATTTAAATTTTTTAAATAGTATTTTGATATAATATTTTTGTGAAAAAAATAATATATTTTTATTAAAATCACAAAAGAACCGATCCTTATTTTTGTAATTAAAAAATAATAATATTTAAATAATAGTTGACGATATATATATATATATATTTGTCTTTATGCTTTAATTTACTGTAATAATATTGATTTAAATGTGACGGATACAGGAAATATAAGATAAATAAAATATATATATATATATATATGTTGTTGTCAAATGGAGGAAGGAAGAAAGTATTTTTTATATTTTAGGTAAAAAAATAATTTAAATTAAAATATTAAACAAGTATACCATTTTACAGACACACACGTATATGTATAAAAGATTTAAGAATAAAAAAATGTTAAAAGGAAATTATAAGTGTGTTTATTTTTGGGATTTAAGTTTTGAATAAATAATATTTTAATATAAAATAATAATGTAATGTTATAAAAATATGTATTTATAACGATCTTTTAAATATAAAATTAAAATTTAATATAATAAAATAAATAAATAAAATTAATTTTATATTTTAAAAACTTGAAGTAAAAAATCGTACGTGTCCCGCGGTTATTCATAGGTTTATATGAATGGTCAATAATTAATGCAATAAATACCGACCGACTCAACTCACGGTAGACTTTTTAAGGGCGCATTTGGATATAATTTTGTCAAATGAATTTGGAATTGAAGATAGTAATAAATAAATATATTTTAAATAAATCAAATATACGTGCTTAATTTATACATATATTTTTGAAGTTTTTATCATTATTTATTAATAAAATTATTAGGAGAATATTTCATCAAATATTTATTTTTTTACAAAAATATTAAATTAAATACTACTTCCTCCGTCCCAAATACCATGTTCACGTTGCCGTTTCTTTCCGTCTCACATACCATGTCATTTTTCTTTTTTGGAAAATGATTACACATTTTAATCTCATTTAAAATTTTTAAATTTTATTTTTTTTAATTTTAATTAAACTAATTAGTTATCTTAATCTTAATTTATAATTATTTATATTATAGGATAATTATTTCACTAATACATTCTTAATTATCTACTAATTATACTCCTACTAAAATACTGTGTCTAGCAGACACGGTATTTGGGACGGAGGGAGTAATATTTTAATGTTTTCAATTTTTTTTTTTTAAATTTTAAAAACATCTATCTAAGTCTAGCGGTGATATTTTAAGGGGGTGTTTGTTTGGGGGTTTGGATTTTAAGTTGGGATTTGAATAGTAAAAATTTTGAATTTGAATAGTTGTATGATGTGATTAAATATGTGTTGATGTGATATTTTGAATGTAAAATTGATTTTTAGTATAATATAAAAAAATAAAAAATAGGTGTTTGATTTTATGTTTTTTAGGAGAAAAAATTGGATGAATAGTGTAAATCCAATCCAATCCCCCAAACAAATACACCCTAAATAAATTTTTTTATTAATATATAATACCCCTTCAGTCCCCCATACACTGTCATAGTTACTGTAAATATCAGAATTTAGAAAATGTATGATTAATAAATAATTAAAAAATATATTAGTAAAAATAATTATAGATTATTGTTAACATAACTAAAAATTTTAAAAATTAAAAATTTAAAAATTTAAAATATAATTAAAATATGTAATACTTTTACAAAAAATGAAAGTAATATAAAATATGAGATTGACGAAAATAAAAAATATAACATTATATTTGTGACGGAGAGAATATATATAAATAAATAGTATATGATTTATTGTTTTCTTATAAAATGATGGTCAGTAAGTTGGTCACATTCAACCACCTGTTCATATATTTTTATCTTTTTTCTAACATATCATATCAAATATATATATTTTTATACTAAATTTAAAGATTTTGATACTATTTAATTTTTTTAAAATATCAAATTAAATATTAATATTTTAAAAAATATTACTCCTTCCGTCCTAGTCCAAAAGAATCTTTTGAAATTTTATAGTAGATTAAAAAATAATAATATTTTATTAGTTAATGAGAATGTGTAAGATGTTTTGATATTTTTGTCATTTGACTTTATGTAAAAGGTAATTATATATTTATAATTTACGTAAAAATTAAAGTTATTTTGGTATTAATATATAATTACTTTTACTAAAATAAAAAAAAAATACTTTGAAATGGAACAATCGAAACAGTAAAAAAAATCATTTGAGTTGCGCCGGAGGAAGTATTTCAAATATTGACTTTTTACTATGTTGAAATTTACAAACTAAAAAAAATATGGACTAAATTGAAATATTCTATCCAAACACACCCTATATATTACGCACGCGAATGTAGATGTGCTCACACAGACACGTATACATATATGTGTATATATATGTATGTATAGTTGTAAACTTGTAGGAAGATGGGATGTAGTTTACAAGCTACTTTTCCACGCCATTGAAATTCCTATATAAACCCCATCCAACTTTAAAATTAATTTCATTGCACACAGTCACATACTCTCTCTCTCTCTCACTCTCTCTCTCTAAAACACACACACACACACACGAAAGATCGCCGGAAGAAAACATCAAATCGAGATGGCGGAGGAAGAAGAAGAAGAAGTGAACGAAGAGAGGATTATGGATTTGAAGGAAGCCTTCCGACTCTTCGACAAAGATGGAGACGGTAACGGCTACCTATACATACACATATATATGTATATATAGATAGAGCTGCTAACGAGCCAAACTGCTCTGAGCTTTTTGTATCTGACCTCAGCTCATTAAAGGCTCGATCGAGTGATCAAGTCATGTTCGTTTGTTAGGAGATATGAGCTGAAGTTTTTATTTGAGCTTAGCCTGTTAATCTTTTTTTTTTTTTTTGTTCGGCTCATTTATTTTTAAAAAAATGAGCTTTAAAATGTGTTAAAATATATTTAGAATATATTATATTTATGATGGTTATCTTATTTAAAAGATTTGTAGAATTCTTACATTATTTAGATGAGTTACACGTCATTATAAATATGTATGAATTCTTATAATTGAAATAAAAAATTTCAATTGAATTTAATTTGTTTTTTATTCAACTCTACTTGGATCTCATCTCCCTGGTGGAGGAGTTGAGGTCCCGGGAGCTCTTGTATTTTTGTGTGTGTCGTGTTCGGACAACTAATAATTTTGAAGTATAATGTAGGACGCATAACGGTGGAGGAATTGGGGGCGGTGATAGAGTCGTTAGGACAAACGGCGACCAACGAAGAGCTCAATGACATGATAAGTGAAGTCGACACTAACCGCAATGGCACAATCGAATTCTCCGAATTCATCCATCTCATGGCCCGAACTATGAAGGTCTCTCTCTCTTATTTATTAGATTTAATCAGTACCATGCTAATATTACATAAGTATCATATATTAATACAACAAAATACACAATTGTAATTGGACAACATATGATAATAATTCACATAACACATATTGTTTTTATTCCAGTATATATCATTACAATGTGTTGATTCGAAGTGTTTGTTTGTTTGTTGAATTAGGAAAGTGATGCGGAAGAAGACCTGAGAGAAGCCTTCGATGTGTTCGACGAGGACAAGAATGGATTCATATCTGCTACAGAGGTCTCATCTCTCTATTAATTAATTTCGTGTCTTTTATATGGACATTGATCATCTGTTGATTCGATCAAATACTTATTTGACTAGATCAACATATGCTATAAGAGTGACCAACATATATTTATATATATTTCAGCATATTTATAATATACTCCCTTCGTCACATTTTCAAGTACTTTTTTACCATTTTCGTCCGTCCTATTTCAAAGTATTATTTTCATTTTTTTTGTAGTAAAACTAATTATACACTAATACCAAAATACCTTTAACTTTTATTTAAATTAGAAACGTACCATTACAGATACACTTACTTTTTACGTAAAGTTAAATGACATAAATGTCATATTTTCTTACACACTTCTACAGACTAATAAAATAATATTATTTCTTAATCTACTACAAAACCCCAAATAACTCATTTCAAAAGAGACGGAGGGAGTAAAATATATTTATACATATTTTAGCATATTTATAATACAACATATATTATATTATAATTTAACGTAGGATATATTATATATTGTCACTTATATGACATATGCTAACCTGATCAAGTTAACATCCTACTAAGTTGGCCGGTTTCAGAGGCCCTATATATATATATATATAAATAATACATTTGGAATATCCGAGGTAGCATAATATTAGGTAAATTATGGATATTATTAATGAGTTAATTAGTTATTAATGATTAATAATAATGGTGTGAATTAATTAATGCGCACAGCTGGGGCACGTGATGATGAATCTTGGGGAGAAGCTGACGGATGAGGAGGTGGATCAGATGATCAAAGAGGCTGATCTGGACGGCGATGGGCTCATTAATTTTCACGAATTTGTCAAAATGATGATTACCATGGAATGAGTTAATTAATACACACATATACTGTAATTTCCTCTTTTATTACACCACCTGTTTTTGTACCATTTTTTTTTTTTTTTTTTTGCAAACCAAGTGGATAGGAATTTTTTGTAATATACATTAGGGGTGCGGGTTAAAATTAATCAGCATTGTACCGACAGTATTTGAAATATAAACTGTCTATTTTATTTACGGAGATAAATTTATTATATGTGTTATAAGAACTGTGATTGTATATTATCAATTTATATATAATATACCTCGTCTGTCCCGAAACTATAGCGGTTGTGTTGGGCACGAGATTTAAAGAATATTGATATTATATTGATAGTGAGTAAAAAATATAGGTAAAAGACATTTTTGACCCTTACGAGTGAATTAGTGTAAAATGTAGTGACAACTGTGTAATAATAATGAAAGAGTAACGATAGTTATACAGTGATGTGATTATTTATGAAAATAAGACTATTGTTTTGAAACAAACAAATATGATACCTTAAAATACTAAGGAACAATTAATTTGACCAATTATTTTAGACCAATAAAATAATAGTAATAATAATAATAATAATATGACTCTTTAACAAAAAAAAATAGTAAACAAAACTATTGTATTGAGACGAAGAGAGTAGTATCTATATACTTCATACACTATACTATGGATTTATGAATTTATGCACCTTGTATTGGAACATTCACAAACACTCAGGTTGTCTTGAATTTTTCTAGAATTCTAGACAAAAAATAAATTATAGTTCTCTTATAAAAATATTAGTATTTTTTTTAAAAGAATAATATAAATGACAAATATAATAATAAATTTAAAAAAAGTAAGTTATGATATATCCAATAAATAAACATGCGTACAAAATTGTTACCATCTGAAATTAATCGTTCGAATAAGTAGTCAGGATGTTTATTCCCGAATGTGTGAAATATGAAAAGGACGCCCTAGGTCTTCAAGATAGGGGCGATTTGGATTCTTAAAGATAAAGATTGCCCAAATTGTTAGAGTTAAGAGCGTCCTGAAATTTTGAAAGTAAAGGTGTCCGGACGTGTCGGAGGTATTTTAGACTGACGCGTCAGACTCAAAATAAATAAATATGACAAATCAATAGGAATTTGAACGTGTTAGGACCACAATTGATTTATATGTACGTGTGTTGGAAGGGTGGCTTAGACGATTAGATTTTGTGTCGGACTAGACCGGCCACCTGATTTGCTCGATTGATGGTCTCACGAATTTGTTTAACAAAATCAAACCTCACAAATTTACAAGACTGTGCCTCTCAAGTTGATTTGATTGACAGCCTTCCAATTCGATAGTTTGTCAAATTTTAAATTAATTGTAAATCTATATTTTTTACTACAGATAATAAGATTGAATTTGATTTTAGATACAATATTTAGATTTAAAATATTCGATTTAATTGATAATATATCAAGATTTATTATAAGATTAAAGATTGTCTTAAATTGAGAATTTAGATAAAATCCCAAAATTATATATATTTATATTTAAAGTTAAAAATAAATAGATTGATTAGTAGATTAGAAATGTCATGTTCGATAGCATACACCATTTAAATCCTATAAAAAGGTCCAATGACAAATTTTAACATGTCAATGAAAGTTATTATTTTTATTTCTGCAATTTATTTCATATTCTCTAATTTATTTTTTTATAATCAAATGCTTCGGCACTACTTTTAGTTACAAAGGAAAAATTTGATCACTTATCTCCAAAAAACAAAAGAAAAAACTCTTAATTATTATTCGATTAACAACAAAAATGTATCATCAATAAAAAATAAATAATATCTTAACTATTATAAAATTAATAATTCAATAATAAACCAATTAATTAGATTATTATTATTTGTTAAGAAAGAATATGTGTTGCACCAATAACTCTCGTACACTTATTCAAAGGGTCAACTCCCGAAGCATAATTATATCACAGCTATAACGGCGACTTGTCAACGAAATAAATGTAGATATCAAAACAATAAATGACAAGTTATTTGGTAATTCGGTTCGGTAATAACCAACCTACATCCGTGGGACTCCTTCAACCGCATATTGACAACTAACAGGAAGTTTGGCTGCACAGATTCTGAATGTTTCCCTGATCAGAACTCCTATTTTCCTTCGACCGACGAACTTTCCGGCGAGACAGTAGTGTATATCACTCATTCAATGCATGGAGATGGGAAGGGTTGAGGTTGAGAGGATTGTAACAATATTTTTTTCACTACACACTCTCTCAAAACCACCTCACTAACCTTCCCACTAATCTCGAGTTGTGTAAGGCAACCACAGCAGTCGTTGTTCTGATATGTAATTAAATTCCCTTGACACAAACAATGAATCGTTTGTATATATTCACTTCAAGATGACAAACTCAAATTGTTCATTTCGTCTTAAGAATACACCATTTCTAGAAAATACAATTCTCTTTATGAGACTACACAGCGAGGTCAAATATTGCTGTTTTTTGAAATATAATAACAATAGAAGCAAAAGGAAGATTTGTCAATATGCCAAAGATAGGTGATCGGAGTTTTTTGAACTTTTAACATCATTAAACTAATCTTGATCATGCTTAAAAAGACGAACTATAAAACCTCTTAAACTAGAGGCCTCAGAAATTGCTTAAAGTAGGCCTTGCAAACACCGATTTAAAAGAAACATAGAGAAACAACATAAATCAATAAATCAATCAAACTTACAATCCCATGCAATAAAACAGAACTTTGTGCTTAAAGAACACAATACAAGAATCCCAAATATCTTACAACACAGACTGCCATGAGACTCTTCCATCATCATTTTCCTGCTGACATATTTTACAAATGTGCTGAGAAATTTGTGTTCTTGCCTGTCTTATTCAGCAAATCATATATATACACATATATATATATATATATGGAGAATTATTAGTGTCTCTCCCAACCCAAATTCACACCCAAACCCGACAACCATTTTCACACCGGTATCGGATCCGCGACCCGGCCATTCTCCGCCGGCGCCGCCAGGCTGCTGTAGTATTCCACCAAGACTTCCCACCCGCCGGGACACATGAATCCGTCGGGAGGATTTTCCCCGTTCTTGGCGAGGGTTCGCATCTGCATGAGAATGTATTAGGGTTTAGGGTTTAAGGTTTCGGTTTATTGCAAGCAACGCAAATATGGTAAGAAACATATGTACTTCTTTCCCGTCTCCAAACAATTTAGTTTTTTACCATATGAAGTTTACGTTCTCAGAAAAACTAATTTGGTCGTGTGATTTTCAAAGATTTTACCTATTTAGTGATCCCCCTCTCCCAAAAAAAAAAAAAAAAAACCATCAGATGTGATTTTCAAAGATTTTACCTATTTAGTGATCCCCCAAACAAACACACCCTTGTTATTTTTATCATATTTTTAAAACATGACATCTATACCTATTTATATATCTGAAAATTTTATTATTCAAATCTAAATTAAAATTCAAAATCTAAATCCACAACCAAACACATACTCCCTCCGTCCGGCTATAAAGTATACATTTGTTTAAGAAATAATAGTACGTTAATTATAATAAATAATTAAAAATAATGTAAGAATAATTTTACCATTGCTTTTGATGTAAAAGTAAGGATGTGATGATAAAATAAAGATGTTTTTGAAAAAATGTGAGATATTTTGAAATAATTCATTGTATTGAACAAAAAAAAATAGAAATATACTATATACTTTCTAAGTGATCGGAGGAAATATTTTTTTCTCACATTATGGCATCAAATATCATTTAAATACCAAACTAAAAAGAAGCATATTAATTACCTTGGTACCGGATATGAACACGAAATCTTGCGGCCTCGACGGGTCGAAGAACGCCATCTTGCCCTGAGTCTTGTCGTACGCCGCCACCTACATCAATCGCCGCCGTTTATCGTAAATTCGAAGATTTCGGACAATCAATTGTTTGTTCATTTTCACATACCTTGAAGGGGAGAATGTTGAGGCGTTCCAAACCGGGAGCCATGCTCAAAACCTTCTTCCCGTGGTCGGCATCATACAAATCTCGTTTCTCGATCGGGTGGCTCATGCCGGCGGGATCCCGTCCAACGATGTAAAAATTCGCGCCCGCATTGATTCTCGCTTTCGCATGCCATTGCACCTCGGTCGGGCCGGCATAGTGCATCGGCGACGGGAATATCGAGACGACCGTTGTCTCCGGATCAAGGACCCCGTCTTCAAGAACCTTCCGAAAAAAAAAAATACCACATTTCAAAAACTATCATACTATTTCACGACGAAATATGAGTTAAACCGAATGTAGGGTTAAAAAAATCGTCGAACCTTCTCGTGTTGCTTCATTCGCCAGCTAAGCGGGACGTCATCCGCCTTCGTGTAACCTCCCAAAGGGTGCAGCAAGAGGACGGGATTCTTGAAACCCATCTCGAGAAGACGTCGACGGGTGTCCGTCATCAAGAGGGCGTGCCCGTTGTGCACCGGATTCCGGAGCTGAAAAGCGAACACCGCATCCGCGTTGCGTCTCTTGAACTCGTCGCGGAGCTGCGCCGGGGAGAGACGGAAACGGTCCAATCCGTCGTTGTATTTGATCGGATTTATGACCTGTAAATCGCCGCCGATAAGCCAGTTTCCGGCGCCCGTAATCGTTTCCTCGACATACGGCAGCCCCGGGGCGGTGGTGCCCCAAGTTCGGGCGATCCTTTCTTCCTTGTTGTGCTTGTAAATCTCGATACTGTCGTTTTTGCATTCGACAAACATAAGATTTTGAGTATAACCGAGACAAAATGCCGAAAAGATTTTGTCCTAACTTTAATATAAAATTTTGTCGCTGAAATTGTCACGTGTGTTTGATATAACACTTTTGAAGCTGACATAAACTAACAACATTGCAATTACTAACACCAAATTGTGACGTAAATATATGTGTGGTTTAATAAACAACCAAATGTAAATTCACATCAATATTTGGTACTAGAGGACTTTTTCGGCAACTACGGATTAAATATAAGACAGCTTTTACACAAGCATCACTTAACAAACCAAAAAGATAAGAAATGTCATATCCATGACCAAAGTACATTTATCCCAAAGTTCAAATCACAATCATCAAATATTCCTTAACTATAAACAATTTCGGACATCGGCCGGAACCATCGTATTATCCCATGTTGTAAGAGCTATGTTCTACTTCCTACAATCAAATGCTTATCGAAACTAGACCATTCAATTATGATTATTTTCGACCATAGATTTTTACTATCGAAACAATCAACTCATAATTTGAGACCAAAAATCAAAATTCAAATCAACAATTCTCAAACAAACATTAATATGCTACACACTCGTTATTTTATATTATTTTTATATTGTCTACACAATTTTTTATAGCTCGAGCAAACCAAGCACACCCATAATCGAGGATCATTTTTAAAAATACATCACATCAAAATACATTTTATATTTTCCCTTTGTAAAACATAACATCAAATACAAAATTTTACTATTATAAAAAAATTTCAAAACTCCAAAACTTCCATGATTTCATTCTAAACAAGGCATATATATGAACAACAATTTTTGTATTGTCTCCAAAATCAGTGTTTGCTTGTCTGATTTTACTTTTGAATTTTGAATATCAAAATTTTTTAATTGAAATAGTAAAATCAAAACTAAAACTTAGCAAACAAATTTGTTTGTCCGATGGTTATTTATTTTTATTTTTTTTGAAGACTTCTATTTCTAAAAATAAAATATAAATAACACCAAAAATCTCAAATCAAACTCATTTTTTTATACTATACAAATAAAATTAATTTGACATTAATAATAATATGATTGAAAAAAAAAAAGCCCTTACTCATTTAGCACAGCGACGAGCTCATCTTCCTCGTCGACGAGGGCGACGCCGGAGGACGACCCGATCCGATCCTTGTCGGCGTCGTCGACGGCGAGCACGATCGGCACCGACATGTTGACGCGTGAGCCGTCGTCAAGCCGGATCGAATTGAAATGAAGCGTTTGGAGGAACTCAGATTCGCGCATAAAACCTTTCAACGGACTCGCCCAACCCTCGCTGAGCACGTGAACCCATTGACGGTCGATTCGCGATAGCCTAACCGCCGGCAGGCTCGAAGCCTGCCGGATCTTCGATTCCCTGTCGGAATCCTCCACGAAAAGCTCGACGAGCCGCCCGCCGTCGGGCTCGATCAAGTAGGCCGAAATTCGGGCGGCGGTTAGGGTTAGGGTTTTGGATTTGGGCGCGAATCGGAGGGAGGGGACGAAATTCGATTTGGGGAAATTGGGGGGAAAATGGGGACGTGAATTGTGAGTGTTTTTGAGGTAGAGAGAAGCCATGGGCGACGCTGCTGCTGCCATTTTCGGCCTCTCTTCGAGCTCTGCTCCGAATTTGGGTCTGATTTGTTGTGCAGAGTTTGGGATATAAAAATTGGAGTGGGCGAGAGGTTCGTAGTATTTTTTTAGGGGGTTTTGTGCGCAGTGACACGTAAAATTTTGGACGGATTTGAGAGGCTACCATTAACAGTGGTGGAGCGATGTACCTGGCCGCGAATTCGTCCACTGTCAAGGATCTGGGCGCCATGGGAGTGAATGGGGGGTAAGGTAATTAAGGCTCTGTTTGTTTGGTTGTTTTTAGGGCTACGATTTTTTTAATAATAAGTACAATTTTAAATTAAAATAGTTATTTAATACTCCCTATGTCTACACAAAATGTGGGAGTTGACACGAAGTTAGTATAAATTATAAGATAAAAGACTAAAATATTTTTATTTAAATAATTTTTAAAAATAAATTAGAGTAATAATTAGGGATTGTTTTTAGAGTTGTGATTTTTTTAATAATAAGTACAATTTTAAATTAAAATAGTAAAAATGTGCTTTTGAATTGGGATAGGGAGTATAAAAAAAATTTTTTGTGTGCAATATAAAATAAAAAATATGTACTTTTTATGTAAAATAATAAAATTATTTATGTATAGTAAAATTTATTTATTTATTCAAAATTCACAATATATGTATATTTTATCATCTCACAAAAATTAAATTTTAACATAAAAATATATTTTTGATATTATCTGTATATTAAAAAAATCTTCAAATTAAAATACTAAACAAACAAACTATTTGTGAGTATCTTTTTAATTTGAAGATTATATCATTTAGATCCAATTATATACTATAGGCTCTTTGTTTAACTGGATATATTGATTTTTGAGATGTGGTGTGAGAAAATGTTAAAAATATAAAATATATTCTCTCTGTCTCACATAATTTGTCTATATTTTTTATTTTCGTCTATCCCACATAACTTGTCATTTCTATTTTTGGAAATATAATTATACACTTTAATCGCATTTTTAAATTTTAAATTTTATAATTTTTATAATTTTAATTAAATTATTTACTTATCTTAATCTTAATATATAATTATTTTTACTAAATAATAATTATTTTTACTAATACACTTCTTAATTACTTACTAATTATACTTTACCGAAATTCTCGTGTTTACAGTAATACACCCATATTACATGGGACTGAGGGAGTAGATTGTTTTAAATTGAATATTTTGATTTTTTTTAGCGAGTATTTTTTTTTTTACTTTTTGACTTTTATGTAAAGTATTTTATATATTTTAATACTTTCTTCGTTCTATTAGAAGGGTGACATTTGTTTCTTTAGACTTTTGAATATTAGTATTATATTGGATTATAGTAAGAAAGATAAAAATACCCTTATTAGTATAGTGTAATATAAAAGTAATGATATTTGTGTAATATATTATAAGTTGAAAGAGTATTTATTATGTTAGGTAGGTAGTACAATTACTAAATTAGGAAATTGTAACATTGTTTTAGAACGGACCAAAATAAAAAATGATAATATTTCAATGGGACAAATGGATAATTATGTTTTAGAATCACAATCCAGAAATTAGGTTGGGTGAATAAAGCCTATATTTGTATTATGTTTAACTCATGAAAGACAGATAGGACCCGAAAACTTCGGATGCTTAAGTCCATGATTTTATTATCTCAAATTCTCACACTATAATGTCTTTTTTTTTTTACATTATAGAATACTCCATTCGTCTCATATTTATTTATCAATTTATTTTTTGTACAGAGTTTTAGAAATATTAATATTATATTGAGATATAGTAAAAATAAAAGTAAAAAAATTAAATTAACATTATTATTATTGTATAATATAAATGTAATGAAATTTGTATAATATATTATAAATTAAAAAAAATATTTATAATATTAAATAAATAGTACAATTATTTAAAAAAATAAATAAATAGTTCGTTATATGCCAGATCAAATAAAAAAATTAATTGATTATTAAACGGAGAAGGAAGTAGTATTGAATTTCGTACATCAGCACACAGCCACCAACGCCACCAACCATATATACATTTTCATTTTTATTTATTTATTTTTTTTTTGAGATGCTGATTGTGCGTCCCTTTCGGATTAGTTCGGTTTTGTATTAATGTTGATTTCTATATAAAAATAAATTATTATTATTATTATTATTATTATTATTATGATATACAATTAATTTAAACTTAAAAAATAAAGAATTACTCCCTCCGTCCCACATATCACGTCCACGTTGCTGTTTTTGTCCGTCTCATATACCATATTACTTTTCTTTTTTGGAAAATAATTATACACTTTAATCTTATTTTAAACTTTTTAATTTTAATTAAACTAATTAATTATCTTAATCTTAATTTATAATTATTTATATTATATGATAATTATTTTCACTAATATATTCTTAATTATCTACTAATTATACCTCTTATAAAATACCTTGTCTACATTGTAGCAGACACGGTATGTGGGACGGAAATAGTATTAATTGATTAAGGAGATATTTACTTTAAATATGACAGATTTGTTAACTAAAAACAATATTTTAAAATTGATTTTTTTTTTTTTTCCAAATGTTTATACTGACTTTAGTTATTAATGTTTTTTTAAACTATATATTATTAGACTATCCCTAATTCATTACTCCATTTTATATTTTTATAGCAGTTACCATAAAAATATAGTTGATCTATAATTATTTTATTCAAATATAGTAATATAAATTTTAATTTTCACTGTAAGAAGTAAATTCCTTATATATATAATTTTTTATATTTATAAATTACAATTCAACTTTAATTTAATTTATTTTTACATTCACCCAAACATACGGTATCATTTTCAAAAAGTAAAATGATATTATATCATTTTTAAAAAATAAAAAATATTATTTTTTAAAAATTAATAAAATCACATATCAATTTCCAAAAAATAAAATTATATATTATTTTAAAAAAAAACAAATTACATATCACTTTTAAAAATATAAAAATTATATTATTTTAAAGAAAATAAAATTAGACAATACACCTAAAAAAATAACTAAAATACATAAAACATACCCTTACAATTATTCTACAGCTTGTAAATATAAATAAAATATACTAATATTTTAAATGAAGAAAATATATATATAATTTTTGAATGAAATATATTTAGTGCGTAATTGCAGATAGCGGCTGCGGATCCCACATCATAACAAAAAAAAATAATAATAAATAATTACATCAATGCAATAAGACTCGTCACAACCAATTTTAAAAATATATATATATACAAAAATACTACTATTATTATTTTTTTATTTCATGATTTTTATTAATGAATTAATTTTGGTGGTAGATTTAAAAATTCCAACGAATTGAGCATTCGTGTCACTTTTTGTCTTGTGCACTGTAAATTTAGGATTTTAAAAATGATATAATTAATAAATAATTTAAAAATATATTAATATAAATAATTAAATATAATTTAAATAGTTATAAATTAAAATTAAAATAACTCGATACGGAACAAACTTAAATACACATTAATAGTAAATGTAAGACGGAAAATGTATAAATTATCTAAGAAAATCTAAAATATTAATGATGTGTTCTTCTAAGGGTGTGTTTGTTTGGGGTTTGGATTTTGAGTTGGAATTTGAATAGTAAAAAATTTAAATTTGAATAGTTGTATGATATGATATAAATAGGCGTTGATGTGATATTTTGAATGTAAAATTAATTTTTATGATAATATAAAAAATAAAAAATAGGTATTGATTTGATATTTTTTGGGAGAAAAAATTAAATAAATAGTGTAAATCCAATCCAGTCCCCCAAATAAACACACCATTACTAAAATTTTTGAAACGCAATTCTCTATACGTCACACAAAAAATATTTTTTTAAAACTAAAACATAAAACAAACACACCCTAAGTTGTGTTTGCCTGTGACTTTTGGAAAAGATTTTTATTGTTTATAAATATAAAAACATTAGATTAAATTGATATATATATATATTTTATATAAAATTTAAAAATAATTTTAAAATTAAAATATTATATCAAACACTTATTTATATTGTATAGAAAACTATTCAAATTGAAACTTTCATTAAAAACCACAAATCTAACTCCAACACTTACAAACAAATATACCCTAATATTCTCCAAGACCATATTTAATTGGGGTTTGTTTAGTTTTAGTTGAATTTTTTTTTCTTTCAATTTTAATTAAATGATATATTAATATAATAGTATTTTATAAAAAATTAATATAGTTTAAATTAAAATTTATACAAATTGAATATTGTTGCTTCTGATTAAAAAAAAAAAAAGAGTTGTGATTTCAAACTGAAATAACATTATTCATTTCGTACAGTTTCAACGAAAGTATACACCCTCCATCAAGCTAAAAAATATATATTTAATTTTGCCGTATAATTTAAAAAATAATAATATTTTAATTGTAGTGAGTATTTAGAAGTAATATAAAGACGATTTAGTTTTTGTTTTTTTGGTGTAAAAGTAAAATAGAAATATTTGTAAAAAAAAAGGAGGTATTTTGAAATAATTAATTTATAATTGAACAACCCAAAATAAAAATATATATACTTTGTGAATTGACAAAAGTATCATTATTTTCTCTTACAAAATATTACATCAAAAGATTATTTAAATAAAAAAATCAATCAATGTCTTATTTCAAATCAATTTCCATCCACAATTAAAATTTTCAATGTCTAAATTAAATCCCAATTGGCTCATTGAATAAGTTAGGTTTGGTTGGACCACATGGAGTAATTTACATTCCTTGCTTTAGTTTTGGAGTAGCCCTACATGGTTTGTGTGGTTTACTTTGAATTTCAAATAGAGCAAAAATCACTCCTAGTCCCATTTATTTATTTTTTTTTAAAAAAAATTCATACAAAACATAAATTATTAATTATGATATTACCGTTCAAATTTCAACAGGTCGTACGTGTACATCAAAAGTTGAGGTATAGATGAATCTAATTGAACACGACCGTGTTTGACATTAGAGCTGACCTTCTATCACGACCGAATTTATCACGGGTGTGTTTATTGCAAACACGGCCGTGTTCAACTTCAAAAT